GCCAAGTCCTGAGTTCAAGCCCAGGACTGAGGTGTGTGTGTGTGTGTGTGTGTGTGTGCATACACCTACGTGTGCACCTCCTTCCCCCCAAAAAAAAAACTAGATTAAATTTTTTTTCTCTCTGGCATTCTGCATTTTTTAAAAATTTAATTACTGAGTGTTGTAAGCTTTTGGATGAGACAACATTGTTTTGTTTTTCATGTTCCTTGTGTTTCTATATTGCAGTCTGTTGGTATGAATATCTCTTTCAGATGCTTAAAAAAATAAACTCAATGCTGGGTGCCAGTGGCTCACACCTGTAATCCTAGCTACTCAGGAGGCTGAGATATGAGGATCATGGTTCAAAATCAGCCTGGGCAGGAAAGTCCGTGAAACGCTTATCTCCTGTAAACTACCAGGAAACTGGAAGTGGCTTTGTGGCTCAAGTGGAAGAACGCTTGCCTTGAGCTGGAGAGCTGAGGGACACTGCTCAGTCCCAGAGTTCAAGCACCATGACCAACACACATACACACACAAAGAAAGGAAAAGAAAAAGAAATGTACTCTCCCCCACTCTCTCTTTTTCTAGTTGTGGGGCTTGAACTCAGAGGGACACTGTCCCTGTGCTTTTCTTGCTCAAGGCTAGCACTCTACCACTTGAGACACAGCCCCACAGTGCCACTTCTGGCTTTTTCTGTGTATGTGGTAATGAGGAAGCAAACTCCAGACTTCAGGCAAGCACTCTACCACTAAGTCACATTCTCAGCCCAAGAAATGTACTCTCGACCTGACTGTTGCCCTCTGTATAACAGAAAAAAAGGCCTTATTTTTACTCCAGAGTTATCTTTTTGGAAATTTCCTTCTTCATTGCCCTCTGGATTTCCTTGCTTTATTTCTGTGGTTTGCTTAATAGATCCTTCTAAAGTAATAACTTCAACCACTTCTTTTCCTTCTTTGGCAGTACTAGTGTTTGAACTCAAGGCCACATGTTTGCTACATATGTGTTTTACCACCAGAGCCATGCCTCCAGTGCCCTGAAGTAAATTCTTAGGAAGAATTTGTGGAAGGCAAAGTTTCTGACCCATTCCATTTCTAAAGGAAAAAAAAAACTATCTCCTCTCTCTCTCTCTCTGTGACATATCCTATGTTTACATGGTGGGGGGATTGAACTCAGTGCCTGGGATCCATCCCTCAGCTTTTTTTTTCTCTTTTCTTTTTGCAGATTGTGGGGCTTGAACTCAGGACCTAGTCCCTGAGCTTTTCTGCTCAAGGCTAGAATTATCACTTTAAGCCACAGAGCCACTTCTGGTTTTCTGGTGGTTAATTTGAGAGAAAAGTCTCACAGACTTTCCTGCCTGGGCTGGCTTTGAACCACCATCTTCAGATCTCAGCCTCCTGAGTAGCTAAGATTACAGATGTAAGCCACCTGTGCCCGGCTTAGTTTTTTGCTCATGGCTAGGGCTTTTTGGTGATTAACTGGAGATGAGTGTCCTGGACTTTCCTACCCAGGCTGGCTTCAGACCTTGATTCTCAGTTCTCAGCCTCCTGAATAGCTAGGATTAGAGGTATGGCCACTGTTTTGCTTACAGCCGGCCTCCCACCACTGGAAGCATGCTTTTACTTCTGGCGTTTTGCTATTTAATTGAAGATAAGAGTCTTTCAGGCTTATCTTCCCAGGATGGCTTCAAACCCAAGATCCTCAGATCTCCCTCTCCTGAGGAGCTAGGACTGAGGAGTCAGTCACCAGTGCTTGGCGATTATACCATCTTGACTGCCAAGGGGTTGCCACTACTCAATGGAGATAGGAGTATTTCTGGAACATAGAGGTGACACTGGGGTATTTCTTGGCATTCTCAGGTCCTTTGATTAAAACCAGTGGAAAACAACAATAGAAAGAGAATTGCAAACGGCCCAGACTCTCAGGAATATGGATATGGACCATCGACAGGGCAAAAACCATGAAAAGCCTTGGTCCTTACTGAGGGCCAAGAAATGGGGAGTGGAAGAAGTCATGTGATCACAGAGGTGATCAGCTGACTAACAATATCAGAAAGCAGAACTACATGATGATCTGCATTTTCTTATTTTAATAAAAAATAAATTGGTGTATGCATTAAGTATTTTTTCCTTTTCTCTTTCATTCCCTTTTCATCTACTAGGAATTGCTAGTACTTAACTTTAGCATTTGAGGAGTCCCAGAATATGATTTAGCTAGAAGAAGAGTGCCCATATCCACGGCTGTTGTGAGCTCCTTTGGCAAGGATTATGGTGTCTTTGTTTATAGAATAGTTGTATCATGTTAGGTGAAAGCACCCATGCAAAACCAAATTCCTGACTTTAACTTTTTCAACAGCAGCCCTGCCCCAGTGGCTCATGCCTGGAATCCTAACTACTTGGGAGGCTGAGATCTGAGGATTGAGGTGTTGAAGGCAATCCTGGCAGACAAAACGTGAATGTCATAAGAGATTCATAACTCCAATTAATCACCAAAAAGCTGGAAGTGGAGGTTTGGCTCAAATGGTACTGTACCAGCTTGGAGCACAAAAGCCAAGAGGGAGCTTGAGGTCCCCAGTTCAAGCCCCTATTCTGACAAACACCAAAAAATCAACAAATGTGTATTATGAGAAAGAAAGCTTGGGGCTGGGAAGGTGGCTCAGTGGTAGAATGCTTGCCTTGCATGCATGAGGCCCTGGGTTCGATTCCTCAGCACCACATAAGCAAAAAGAAAAAAAGCTGGAAGTGGCGCTGTGGCTCAAGTGGTAGAGTGCTAGCCTTGAGCTGAAGAGCTGAGGGACAGAGCCCAGGCCCAGAGTTCAGGCCCCATGACCGGACCCCACCCCCCCAAAAAAAGAGAAAGAAACCTTCTTAAACAGGGAGGTTTTATCAACTTAAAATCTGCACAGATTTAATCTTTAAAAAAAAGTGGTTCTAAGTCTTTTTGGAATGCAACATTATCAATTAATCTCTCTTTATTTTTCTCTCTCTTTGATTTGAACTCAGAGCCTGGGTACTATGCTAGCACTCTACCACAGGAGCCACTGCTCTTCTTTTAGCTTTTTTTTTTGGGGGGGGGGTTGTGGATAATTGGAGATAAGAGTCTCACCAATGCGGGTCGCCGGTGCCTCACGCCTGTAATCTAAGCTACTCAGGAGGCTGAGATCTGAGGATCGCGGTTCAAAGCCAACCCGGGGAGGAAAATCCATGAGACTCCTATCTCCAATAAACCACTAGAAAACCGGAAGTGGCGCTGTGGCTCACGCGGTAAAGCGCTTTCTTTGAGCTGAAATGCTGAGTGACAGCCCCCAAGCCCCGAGTTCAAGCCCCACGACCGACCAAGAAAAAAAAAAAAGTCTCACAAACTTTCCTGTCCCATCTGGCTTCAAACTGCGATCCTCAGATCTCTGCCTCCCTTATAAGTATGAGCCATAGGGAGCTGGCCATTAGTTTCTTTTTAATTTACTTGTCTGAATTTTCCCTTTTAATTTACTTATTTGAAAGTGTCCACTGCTTTGAAATGAAAGAGATCGTTAAGTTTTTTTTTTTCCACCTTCTTCATCTCAATGCTTTCCTCTCCACTTCCCTTCCCTGTAGACCTTCTGTGGTCCACTGTTGGCTGAAAATCAGTCTTAACCCCCCCCCCCCTCCGCCCCTTGCACTGCTGAGTGAGCACCGGCGTGTTGATGGGATTCTCATACCCATTACTGTGTGAGAAGTATCCGCTTTGGATCTTGCTTGGCCCTTTGCAGGTTCTTGAACTCATCCTCCTCTCTGAACAGCAGTGGTGAGGAAGAGCAGCCCGTTAGTAACAGCTGTGCCAGGAACTGCCTCCGCCCAGGCACTTCTCACCAAACCCCAGTCCTGGATGCCACAGGAAGAGGGTCGCTAAACATAGGCTGCGCCTAAGAAAAGACACGAGAGCTGTCTGCAGGCTTTTTCGGCGGGTGCAGGAGGGTGGAACAGGAAAGGGAGGAAAGCAAGTTCCTGGATTCCAGAAACCACAGCTCATCTAGGTGCTACTTTCTCCCCAATTTAGCACCACGCTGGGCCGTGAAGCATCTCCCTACCGACCTCCCTACCCCCCCTCCTTCTGCCTTCTATAAAAATGTCACCATCTCCAAACATCTCCAGGAATTAACCGTTCTGAGCCGGCAGGCATTGCATGCGCCTGTTTTCTAACCGGGTGTGTTTTCTGATGTAGTCATGGTGAAACCTGACTCATCTGAAATGCGGGTGGTGCCCGGGAGGGCGGTGGGGGAAGGATCGGGCCGGGCGGGCGGCAGCCCGGAGCGGAGCCGGGGACGGCTGGGCGCTAACCGTTGCCCACCTACCCACGGCCCACGGCGTCCGCGGGCGCCCCTGGGTAGGGCTCCCCAGACTCTCCTTGTGTCCAGGGCAGTGGTTCGAAGCGGTGCAATTCTAAAGATCACTTTCTGCAGCGACGGTGTTTACAAAAGCATCTTCCCGGTTGTTCGAACCTGCCGGGATCTTTGCTCTCCTCCTCCTCCGTCCTCCCTCCCGCCCGGCGTCCCCTGCCCTCAGCCCGCCACATCTGCCCCGAGAGCGAGCGCTGTATTGAATATACTTTCTATTAAGGGGGGGGTTGCTTTCCCCCCTTTCTTACTCTCTGCTCCCGTCCACACACAGCACATGGTAACCCCAACGCACTCCCTGGTGCGGGGTGTGCTTGTCATTTCTGTATGTTCTGACTCCTCCCTTCTCATCCCAGATGGGAACGTCTCCGCACTGGGGTGGGCCTGTCTCTTCCCCGGGCGGGGCGCGTGTGTGCAGGGCCCTGGGGCGCCGTGGTCGGGGATGGGGTGGGGTGGATGGAGGGGCGGGGAGGGCGGGGCCGGACGGGGGCCGAGCCGGTTCGGGGCCCGTGCGCTCTCTCACTCCCCCTGGGTTGGAGAAGGTGGCCAGAGGAGCGCAGAGCGCCATTGTGCGGCGCGAGGGAGAGGGCGGAGCCGCGGGGCCCGGGCTCAATTTAGATCCCCCCCCCTCGCGTCGGGGCGCGCCCAGTACCCATCGCCAAACCCCAGTTCCCGGGCGAGAAAACCCGGGCGGAGGCGCGCGCGGACGAGCCCCGCAGCGGAGCGGTCGGAGCCCCGCAGCTGATCCGCCGACATGGGGGGTCCGTGGCTTCTGTCCGCCGCCCACTTTCTCTGCGTGTGCGCGATCGCGGGGGCCGCCGCCACCAGGTAGGAGAGCGGGGCGCGC